TATCTTTTCGATGAGTGCAAAAAAATACCCATTGATCCTGCAAGAAATCTTGTGAGCTGATAACTTCCTGTGCTCACAACCTGTGCTAATTGTTTTCAGTTAGCATTGTTCCAAGCTCTCTCTGAAGGTGGCCATACACTTTACAACCATCTCAAGACCTTAGTTTTGCGATGGTTGTAAAGTAATTTAAAAAACGTACAATCTGCCCATCTTGGACAGGCAGATCGTACTCTCGATCATCGCAAGCCACGCTCCCTGAGGGGCGGGCTTCCGATGACCGCAATGCTGAACGGGCAGTGTGCGCGTGCGCACACCGGCCCGTGCGGCATTGATCTTACGATCATGCTAAAAACCAGCTGAAAAGCGTACGATTCTCGGCTGGTTTTCTAGCATGCTCCTTAGACAAAAGACGTGCGACCGTACAGTAGAAACGGTCGCATGTCTTCCATACACTTTGCGATTATCGTACGATCGCGGGATTTCCCGCGATTATCGTGCGATAATCGCACAGTGTATGGGCACCTTGAGAAAGAGAGAGAGAGAGTTAAAACCAGACATAAAACATCAATTTAAACTTACTAGTTAAAATTAAAAATAAAATGGACCCAAATCATTCTAGTTTCTGTTTAAAGGACAAAATAGTGGAAGGAAAAAAAATCGGATAGAAAAAAAGGAAAAAAAGTAAGTAAGGAGTCAATCCAGATAGGAAGGCAAACAGTTTTATACATCAAACAGTCCTGAAAACACTGATTTGGGTATAAAATCTCTGATAATTTTTGAGCATAATATTAAAAGAAAAGGGCCTGGATCGCATTGGCCTGCTCAGATGGCTCTAGGCTGGTTATCATTGGGATTTGGAATCATTTCTCTGATGTCTAGATGAATGGACTGATAAATAGCAGCAGCCCTGTTAATATATGAGCGTTAGATAAGAGCCTTCTACCACCGATCCGTCTTTATTTTTGGAAGTGGTGCTCACATCAGCTCTATTAGATCAAACAAGTTTCCGCTTCACTCAGTATTTATTGGCACAAGCGCTAATTTCTCCAAATTCTCTTTAACCCGCGGAGTGCCATTCCCGATGTGCCAGGGTGATCCTCCTGTTACTTTGTGTCAATGCGGTCATTTGTTTTGGCCATTTTATAGTGTACTTTGCTACATTGTATGTGGCACACAGCATACCTGGAGTTCTGTATGGAGTATCCTGTACTCAAAAGGTTGAAGCTTTGCTATCTTATAGTGCAGTGGTCTCAAAACTGTGGCCCGCAGACTGCATGTGGTCCTTGGTTTGCCTTTTTCAAGTCCTTGGGGCACTTTTCTTTCCAATGACACAATGGGCCACCATTTCTTCCACAATGGGGCATGATTCCTCCCACTGACAGCAACCATAGGTGCAATTCCTGACCATTGATGGGGCACAACTTCTTCCACATGGAGGGGGGGTGGATATCTGGGACCCCCTTATCTTCATGAGGGTTTCCAGCTTCGGATAGGTCCCCCCCACAGACCCCCATAGTCCCCGGGCCAGGGATAGCATAAGGTGCCTTGCTGGTAGCGGTGGTTCAAGGTACCCTCCCCATGTTGAGGGCATATTGCCTGGTATGGTTCAGGAAGGAGAGGGGGTATTGATTTTGGGTAGGACCTCATGCCTTTTTTCCCCCTGTGGGTCCTTCTAAAATCTTCACCATAAATTTAAGGGTATGGTATGGATTCCAGAAGGAACCCCACACCGTTTTATGTTTTTTTTTCAGGCAGCCTGGGTGGCCAGGAAGGGGGAGGAGGGGTAGGGACAACAGTAGGGGCAACAGGCATGATCCCCCCCACCCCCTCCTGAACAAAAGGCCACACCAAAAATCCGGAATAAGTGCATCATCCCCACATCCCATGCCTGGTGGATGTGGAAGTCAGTGGAGAGGGGAGGGGGGGCATGGATGACTTATCAGAATCCAAAAGACCCCTATAAAATAAGGGGGGTCTCCAGATATCCATCCCTCCCTCCCTGCCGATGTTATAGGTTTGAGCAGAGAAACTAATTAGCTCCCCCTTTCAGCAAACCTCGAACACCTGGAGTTTGACTGGAACTCATCGTTGACCTAAACCCGAGGCCCATCCCTAATCACCACCAATTATTTGCTCTCCTGAAGAGCTAAGCTTGCTGGAGAGTCTTCAACATCTAAAATTGCCCCTGGTCCCCCTCTATGTGCTGCGGTTCCTCTCGACGACACCTACATCACTTCAGAACATTGTAGATACTAGGGATGCACCACTACCGATACTCGTACTCGCCCAAATGCTCCCGATGCTTATCCCGTGTAATGACTCGCCTCCTGGCTTCCTGATTGGTCAGGAAGCTAGCCAACCAGGAAGCCAGGTGGCGAGTCATTACCTCCCTGGTGACAAGGGAGCATGGAGCTGGCTTCTCGGCTAATCAGGAAACCGAACGGCGAGTCATTACCCACCCCCCGGCTTCCTTAATGGGACTTTCGGTATTTGATATTGGAGAGTACCGAAAACAAAATATCGGTTCTCATACTCGATAGCGAAAAACCGGTATCAGTGCATCCCTAGACAATACCATAATGCACAGCAGGAGGGGGCCTTGCATTCTACACACCATGACGTTTCTCGATGTTCTTCAGGGCTTAAAGCAGTATTAAACTCTCATACTTTTTTCAATAATAAATCCAGATCAATAAAATATCCATCGCCCAGCAAAGTATTTCTCGAGAAAAAAACACCTCCCCAAGTGTTAGCCCCCCATTGTTGTGCATTTCCCAAAGGGCGACAAGAATCCCATTATTTTTAATGGTGACCTTCAAACCTGGGATTGTAGTTTAAAAAGTAGAGCTCTTTTTATTTTTTAAGGCGGAATCACACCTTTTTGCTATCAATGCTTCAAGATCACCTGAAAAAAAGGTTACGCTCAAGTGTGAATAGGGGACCTATTCAGATGAGCAGATG